CCGATTCATGTATTTAAGAAACTGTCTGTGTATATACAGTACCTGACTAATATAAAATAATTCTCAAAAATTGTTTGAAAATTTGTCACGCAATTATTTATCTGATCTTTTAACGGCATTTAGTAACTGGATAGAGCAATAAACTATAACACATACTTATAAAAGAACAATTACTTGCTTGAACACGTTGAGAGAATACATGCACTCTTCGAAACATCGCCTAAATAAATCAGTAATTGTTCTTCCATAAGTATGGGGGGGGGGGGGGTTGGATGGCTGAATGGTTAGCGTGCGCGCGCTGTATCATAAAGTCTTTCATTGAGTCGACTGGCGTGGTTTCGAATCCCCGGTTGTACGTGACAAGGAGTAGGGTCGACTGTCCAACCTCGTGGGTTTTCTCCGGGTCCTCCGGTTTCCTCCCACTGCTAAGCGCAAGCGAATTATTGAAATAAAATTAAACCATATGTTAGTCCCGAAATGACCTAGTTGTGTCGAGTGGTCATTAAACCCCATTTCTCTCTCTCTCTCTCCATAAGTATGTGTTATAGTTTAATTAATTATCTTTTTATTCTGTAGATTTTTAAAAAATCACTTTTGATAAAAGTGTATTTAAGACCGTATCTGAACAAATCCTGACAGGATTAAAGGTTACACCACATGACAACAATTTGATGGACCTAGACAGAACACCCTTGGCTATTATAACAATCAGGAGCACTGAGTTACAATCATAAATTTATTTAATATAATAGATGTTGTTGATTATTGGTAGTGAGCATTATAATGAAGATGTGTATTCATTGTGATACATTATAATGAAATGTGTATTCATTATGATACATTATAATGAAGATGTGTATTCATTATGATACATTATAATGAAGATATGTATTCATTATGATACATTATAATGAAGAAGTGTATTTATTGTGATACATTATGATGAAGGTGTGTATTCGTTGTGATACATTATGATATTAAAGTTGGATAATTCAACGTATTCTGATTTTACTAGGCTTTTATTGTTTCCATATGGATATATTTTTTAATGTTGTGTGTTTTATGTCAATTTTAAAAAGATTTTACACTTTTCATCATTCATTCATGTAGAGGTTTACAACAATCAGTTTTAAGCCTAGCTTATGTCGCCCTACGACTAGACGAAACTGACGACGACTGAGAGATTATGCCGCTACGACTGAATTTATCCACAACTGGACACAACCACGAGCAACCAGTTGGTCGTAAGCATACTAATGTCGCCCAGTGTCAGTTGCAGAATCGGAGCCACAACTAATCATGTGACGGCCACGTGATAACCTTAAAAATAGCTATGGGCATGCGGAAAGAGGTGAGTTCCACATCATGCACTATTATCACTTCGTCTGCTTCATTTCACTTGTCCGCCATGTTTGTTGCCTCCGCCTCGGTACCATGTGACTAAATAACCAGATCTTATTGCTGACCCAAGTTAGTCGTGGGTGTGCTGATGTCGCTTGCGACTAAGGAAAATTAGTAGTCTTCAGTCATAGACAAGTTGTGGGAGTAGAACATGTGCGACTAGTTGCTGTCCAACATAGACCAGTCGTAAGAGCACTCAGGTCGCCCAGGTATTTACGACTGATCAGTTCCACTTTATCGTAACCGGTTGCCGATTTCGAGTTCCGTCAGTTTTGTTGCGTCGTAGAGTGACATGAGTTAGACTTTAAAATTCAATGTGACTTTAGTAAAAATAATATAATAAAAGGAGAAAGACAAACAAGTTATGTCCATTATACCATAAAATGTATTGTGTTCAATTGATGGTTTTAATTTATGCTCATTCTAATAATTTGCGGTTTTATAAAAAACAATGCATGGACCAAATGGATTTTGTTAATAGTTTTAGTGTTCACACTTGAAAGTCCTGGATATTTGACTGAAGTTGTTTCTGACTAAGTCCATATTTGAGTATAGTCAGTGACATACTTCAAGGAAAATATTTTTGGTGAAGAATAGAAAGATATTTGACCCCATAGTGTGCAGGTCTGTCTATATTTTATTATTGCATATTGTATAGTCTATCTGCATTTGCTATTTTACTAGAACCATTTGATATTATGTGGCTATAGATAGTATAGAACCCGTGGCTATATCGAACCCTGATATTATTTGACTAGAACCATGTGATATTATGTGTCTAGAACCACCTGATATTATGTGACTAGGACCACCATGTGACTACAACCACCTGATATTATGTGACTACAACCATGTGATATAATTTGACTAGGACCTGGCACCTGATATTATATGACCACCTGATATTATGTGACTAGGTCCACCTGATATTATGTGACTACAACCACTGTGTGACTACAACCACCTGATATTATGTGACTACAACCACCTGATATCATGTGACTACAACCACCTGATATTATGTGACTACAACCAACTGATATTATGTGACTAGGACCACGTGATATTATATGACTACAACCACCTGCTGTGGCTAGAACCATGTGATATTATGTGACTACAACCACCTGATATCATGTGGCTAGATAGGATTACCCGATATTATTTGACTAGGACCATGTAATATTTTATGACTGGTTATATCCACCTGATATTATGCATGAATCATGTTTATATTCTCCTTTATAAAAATGTGAAATCAAATATTTAATGTTTTTTCAAAAGTTTCAATAAAAACTTTTAGTTTTAAAAAAAAAACATTTGTTTGCTTATCTGTAATGTGTTTTTATATCAAGATGTTGTTCCTACATTTACTACAAATTCCTAATATTTATAACTTAAAACTTGTTCAATATCTAAGTGGAACATTGCAATAACACCTGAAATTGAAAAGCTTTAACACTACACATTTAGGATCCTAGGTTTTTATTAAACACACATTATGCAAGAGCTAAATCTGTCTATTGCAGGTCTTTCTTTAGGCCTGAAAATGGAATGTTATTAATTATACATTAATTAACTTATCCAGACCATAATCAACTCTCGATGGCTCGCTAGCCTGCGATCTTTAGTGGATTATGAGCCGATTTACTGCATAACTTTTCTTCACGATTTAACGATTAACTGGATAATCGAGACTCTGCTGTTTATCGTTCTGACTTTAGTAATGATGATCGAGGCTAGGCGGAAATTTCAATTGCTTAGTTCTCAGGTCATAGTGGATCAATTTGAATGAAATTTTCAGCAAATTGCCTTTACATTATCTAGTTTTTAACTATTATAGTGAGAACTGCCAACTCAGTATCGAATCTCCCATAATGTATCTTTAATGAAAAGAACAAAATAAAAATGACTGCATATGTTTAAAAACTTATTAGGGACATATTTGGATAGAATTGCAGTTCTGTAATTCTTCATGCTTTTGTTTTCGAATAACTCCTAAAAATAAGGGGGAAAGGGGTATCCTCGTGATACCCAGTATCCATTTACAAATGTTGAAAACAAAAATTCATAGATTTTCTACAAACCTGATGGAACTTTAATAAATATTTGTCATAATTTTTTTACGTTTCTTACTGTTTTCATAGCCGTTGCATTACTGCATGTTATTTTGAAGTTATTTTTGTTGTACTTGGGCATCAAAGCCCATTTTAGCACATTACTGCATTGGAAATTTTATCATACTTGGCACAAAACTAATTTTCAACAAATTTTCAACAAAGAAATGTACACTGTGACGACAATATCTTGTTCTAAAGGAAACAAATGTATGTTCTTATGGTTATGGAAACAATCTAGTCATAAGTGCTTAGTACATTTCAACGGGGAATTATCATGAATTCAATGACGTATAAAATAATCAGTGATAAATGTAAACACACGGCAATTCATAAAGGTAATTTGATTCAACAAAATCAAAGGAACACTTTCGATATGTGCATTGAACAGTTTTTATATAGATATGTGCATTGAACCGTTTGTATGATATTGGTATGTGCATTGAACAGTTTGTATATCGATATGTGCATTGAACAGTTTGTATATCGATATGTGCTTTGAACATTTTCAAGTATACCAATATGTGCATTAGCAGTTTCAAGTATACCAATATGTGCTTTGAACAGTTTCAAGTATACCGATATGTGCATTGGAACAGTTTGTACATCTTAAATGTTGAACAGAGTTGACTTAAAAATATGAATATGAATACATACACAAGTATGTGGTAGGTTACCAATTCAGTATTATGAATATCATGGACCACTATTGTTGTTATTTCATGCGATTTTCACCATCCAAGAAAACATTGTGGACACTGAATATTAATCTGTGAATATAGGCCTTTGCCAGTGCCTGGCTTGCCTTTGACTTAATCGAGTTACATGCCTGGTTTACTTGATCATTTCATTTTGACCAACCATGGTTTATTGTGTACGTTGTTGTATTTTGATATTTACGTCTTATCGACAAACCATGGTTTATTGTGTATGTTGTATAGTAATATTTGTGCAAAACCATGGTTTATTGTGTACGTTGTATAGTAATATTTATATCTTAGTGACAACTGCTGTAGGTTAGAACACCATTAACATTATTGACCATCAAAAATGATGTCTCCCTTAATACTTACAGAAAAATGGCTTCAAATGGCTTCCTTAAAATTATAAAAAATATAATGCTTTTTTAAAGAATAATTATGAAATGACATAATATTTTAGAAAATATAATGGTTTTTTTTTTTTGTGTGTGTGATTTTGACCCATTGGAATAGCTTTCCTTTAAACTGTTGTGTGATGAACATAAAACAGGTCTCTATCAGCGGACTTTACGTTAGATTGACAGTTTTATTTGTCCCCAAATCAGCGATGCCATTTGATTTTAAATAAGTAAATTGGAGCTTTATCCAATAACAGATTCCTTCGATAACACCTGACAAGTTGTTGGATGACGGTGTACTTACACAGAACTGCATTTTATTTAATTTTAAATTTAAAAGATTTCTGTGATGAAATTTCTAAGTTGAGATATTTACTCTATAGAACAACAAGGGTATGGAGCTCCTCCAGGGTATGGACAACCACAACAAGGTTATGGACAACCACAACAAGGTTATACAGGAAACACGACCGTAGTAGTTGCTCAACCCCAAGTGTCTGTGATACAACAGTTCCGCGAAGCACCAGTTCGTACTCAATGTCCCCACTGTCGAGCTGACGTTGTGACAGCCACTCGGTATGAGATTGGAACTCTGACATGGATCGTCTGTTTGGTACTTTGCTTAGTTGGGTAAGTAAATAGAGATTATAGATAGCGCACAGGTAAACACAAAATATCAATATTTTTATCAAAATAATCGTCAAGATTTCTGGTTGGTATTGATTTAGACACAACTTCCAACATACTAGGAAGATCTGGGATGTATGTTTAGAAGCATAAGATGACACTTTAGACCAATGTGTAAAGGATAGAGAGTCCATGAATAATGGACAGTAAAAGGGTCTTATCGTTCTGTTTTAAATTGACAGTAAAAAGGGTCTTATATTGTGAACAAAACTTTGGGTGTTCTATGGAACATAAGCATATCCCATCTAATGCAAGACAATTCTCACTAATTTATACTGAAACGGTGCAATACGTTAAATATTTTTAGAATCAAATTGCACAAAAATTACAAGGTTTCAAGAACCTTTGGGTGTTCTTTAAAAGATAAGCATATGCTGCCTGATGCAAGACAATTATCATTAATTTATACTAAAACAGGGGAATACTTTCAAACATATTTAGAATCAAATTATGCAAAAATTACAAGGTTTCAAGAACCTTGTTACTGTGACAATAATTGTTGATTTTATAAACATTTTTCCATATGCAAAATGGTTTGTATTTCATTTTGGATGTTATTTTCAATATCTGCATTATATCATTATGGGATTGGAATACAGTTGCATGACACTGTCAAAGTGAGGACAGAATAATAATTTTTGCATAGTTGATACTGTATGTCAGAAATTTTGATTATTAAAAAAGTAAAGAATTGTGATAATCTATGAGTTTACACATAATGCCCATATGAAGTTATTATAATACATTTATAATAACATTGAAAAGCAACATTCAGAGATGTATTCCTTGGTCATTTTTATGGAAATGTGATCGTCTATTGCAGTCGCCCCCGTCTGTCATCCACAATTTCTTGTGAACACTACATTTATTATCAGCTATTTTAAAATTTATATATGTTAAATTATAGTGAGATGAAGAATCCTATTGAATTTCAACAATATTTGTTCATTATTTCTAGAATTATGGCCCTAGTTTGACTTTGTAGATATTTGTGAACGTTCTAATGACAAAAGTATTAAATTGAATTTTAGCAATTTCTGTTAATTACTTCTAAAGTTATGGCCCTTGTTTCACTTTATTGAACCTTGTGAATGCTATTTTGACAAAGGTGTCATCCAATCTGTATGAAATTAATATCAGTATCTTGTAAATGCTCCCATTATCTACAAAATAAATATGCAACAACGTTGTCGACTGCTCAGACCATTTAGCTGCTGTGGGCAATCTCTCTTCTAAAAGTATAATACATTTTATGTTTTAAAGTATGCTAGGTATTATTTGCATTTTCACAAAGGTCTGTCATTGATTTCGATTCCCCAGTTGTACGTGACAAGGGGTAGGGTCGCCTGTCCAACTTCATCCGGTTTCTCCTTGTCCTCAGGTTTCCTTCCACTGCTAAAGAAATGAAATGGGGTTTAAAGTCCTACTGTTCTGCTCCTATACTGGGCTAATGAAGACGGGCATAGGCCATACAGTGTGCTATGAGGGAAATTTTGCCCGGGCAGCGGCACTATCGCCTACTCTTATATCGAATTCCAACTGCCATGGGATCTTTTACGTGCATTCTAATGTATACACGGGACCTCCGTTTTTCGTCTCATCCGAAGGAATAGACAGCTGTCCTTGTCAGGCCCTCCGTTCTGCACCACTGACAAGGGGAAACCACGTCGGAAAATCAGGATGAACTTTCTCGGCCAATGCAGGGATCGAACACCCGACCTCCAGGCTAGTGAGCCAGCGTCTTAACCACCTAGCCACCACTGCTAAAGACCCCTACGCTCAAGTGAATTAGTGAAATAAAATTGACGTAGTTTGTGTCGAGTTGATGTTATGGAAACAAACTCATAAAACCAATGCTAGATAATCACCGGTTTGGATTCAATCAGAATTAAAGTAGGCCCATCAGGTTCCTCTACTACCAATAAAAGATGTCAATGACTTTGTCTTGTTATATTGTACAGCATAGATAGATGAAATTTCAATTTTTCATAACTTTGTAAATACTTAACCATTCTCGGACTAATATTCCTACTAGAGATTCAACTTCCACAATACAATACATTCCTATAGTACTAAAGAGAGCAGAACAGTAGGACGTATAACCCATTTCATTTCATTTATGACACATCAAGGCTTTAAGTTATAGATGAATCCAGGGGAAGAACGATCTAAATAAGTCACATTTTTGTCTTTTCGTGTAAAAGGCAAAACAGACTTTTAGACAAGGATGCTTGATGCGAACAGAACAACGAGTGGGTTTAATTACAACTTCAAAATGATGTTTAATACAAATCATAATTACCAGTACAACAACTGACTTCCACTTTTCAGCCAAATTAAAGTCAAATAAATACGATGGACTTGTATTTGTCCGTGAGGCCATTTCACAAGGGCCTTGGTTCGATGTGACTCCTATCAATTTTTAGGCCGCGGTTAATTAATTGTTTGTTTCTCATGACCCACCCGCATGTCTGTTTTCATCCGTAATAATTACGCACTTCCATAATTATTTGGTCAAATTTAGGCTAGTGAGCTCCAAAATTTTTCCTTTAAAACTATATTTGTTTGCCTTTAAATATGAACAATGAATTGACGCATTAAAATACACTATTTATTGCTGAACAGGACACCGTAGGTGATAAGTAAAGTGCGGTACTTAAAAGTAGGCTAGAATGTGAATGTGAGTCCATCCGCAAAACGGAAGTGATAAAGCCGTATCATATCTGTCATCCATACCAAGGAATGGTAGCTACAACATTCACCAAAGACCACATATATACTCTATAAGGCACTTGTCATTTGTAATAAAATTCACAGAAAGATATAAATGTCTTTTGATTCCTGCTAAATTATTTCATTTACTGACTAGCAACGGTCCTAGAACTGCCGCCATGAGATAGCCTCGATCATGAGATACCAACTGGTTGACACTGCTTCACGCCCTTCACGGTATTTTATTAAAAACACTATATAAACAGTCTCAAAAGGACACAGAGATACAAATAAATGTAAACAGTTTGATTAAGATAGACACAATAATAAAAGTATTCATATTATCATGATGCCTCTTGCCGAAGATGTGTTCAAAGTTGACGACAATTAACATACGGGCTATTTCCATGGCATTGGTACTATCTTCGCTCACGGCTAGAGAAACGCCAACGTGTCGGGGTTCCTGCGGTACTTGAAAATCCTTGAATATCCTTAAATTTAAAATTTCATTTTCAAGGTCTTGAATATCCTTGAATTTCGCAGAAATAGGAAAATATCCTTGAATTTCAGTTGAGATCCTTAATTTTGTTTCAAATTGGTAATAATAGTAAGTTGATATGAAAATCCCGTTTAGATTAGAAGTTTAATAACGATAGTTGGTAAAGTTTTGGTTATTTTTAAGATGAAAAATTGTAACTTTAGGCTAAAAAATGTCCTTGAAAATCCTTGAATTTGACGTATATTTATCCTTGAATATCCTTGAAAAAATGTTTGACGAAGCCGCGGGAACCCTGCGTGTGTAGTAAATTCTTTGACTGACTTGTTAAATAATCTAACTTATTTGTATTTAAAATTCCAAGTGTATGCTTTTAATTATTTATGTCAGAACAAATCATTAACCAGTTTGGAACAGGTCATTTCGTAAGGATAAAGATATGAAATGCCAAGAATGAATGAATTAACAAACCGTTAACTTAGAAGCATATCACTAATAATTTAAACTGATTTATTATGATCAAGTCTTCTGATGTGCCCGGATACTGTGCAACGGATATTTTAATCTATAAATATTTAATAAATGTGAAGAAATCGCGGACACTGGTTACCGTTGGATTGGGTTTCCAACGACCAAGTAACTGACATTAGTTATTGCTGAAATAGAAACAGCATTAAACTAAAAACAAAAAAAAATTCATCTCAATAATTAATAATTACCGCATGTAGCATGTATATTTCACAAACTCAGGTCATGAGAAACTGACAATTAATTAACCGCGGCCTAACCTGAAATTGATTGTTCCACAGAAAGCTTATACAATTTGCTACCAGATGGCACCATTAACTGAGTGACTTAGATCGTTCTTCCCCTGCCGGGGCTCTTCAGATATTTCTGAATAAATGTTGCTTTGAGTGAAATATAATAGCTATTGTAATATTTTTTTATTTCAGATGTGATTTGGGATGTTGCTTTATACCATTCTGTGTCGATGGATGCAAAGATGTAATCCATAGTTGTCCTAATTGTCAACAAACCATTTCTCGTTATAGCCGAATGTAATGGTGTTGCTGCCATGGTTTGATGATCAGATTCCAGACTATAGTCCCTATAAACTTACTAACTTTTTTTACTTTTAATTTTACGATTTTATCTTTTTTTTTTATCTTTTTTTTAATTAATGTTTGATGTGATACATAATTTGTTGAATATATACGTATCTTATATGTTGAAAGATATTAACTACCGGTATGTAGCATACTTAAACTATCAGGTTAGATTTATCGAAATGGAAAATTTGATTAAATTGGCATTATGTAAGATTTAGATAAAGAGTTGGCCGTTCTCACTATAATATTTCAAAAATAGATAATGCAAAATGAATATATTGAACATTTCATTCAAATTACATTATTTTGAGCAAAGTTATCAATGGTTGTAGTTTTGACAAGATATGTGCCTTGATTGTAATAACCATACTGGTCATTCGAGTCTTAGTCTCGCTTTTCCATTTGTAAATTAAATCATTATGTGTCTGAACTGTTCTAATCGACTTAAAATAAGAGCCATCTGATGGCATCGACATCAAGAGTTGATTATGGTCCTGTCATGTTAATAAATGTCTAATTAATAGTTTATATAACATTTAAGGCCTAAAGAACAAACTGCAATAGGCCGAATTATCTCTTACATAATGCCTGTTTAATCAAGTTGTTGCATGGAATGTAATATTTTATGCATACAATGAACCACTGCGAGTTCAAGAAGAAATTTACTTAAAAATACAAAGGATAATAATCTGATGTTTAATAATTCTTGCCATGATTTTCTTTTTACATGACAATTTTTTTTTAAATTTAATATGTCACATTTATTTTCTGTATGAAAGTCTACTTTTGGAAAAATGCCATTTTTGACAATATCTTTTATTGATTTCGTTATTTGCTACGGAACAGGAGTTAATGAAGTCATTCCTATTTAATTTAAATTTAAATCCATCAAAAGGAAAATAGGATATATTTTTATAAGACGACCAAAGATTAAATCATATTTTTTACAACTTTTGTGTAAAATCAAGTTATTGGTAGTTTTGTCCATGGCCATTCCACTGAAATTGCTGTTTATAGGCAACTGTTTGCTCTTCAACTAAATAACACTGTATGCTTCGCTTAATGTTTTTTTTATATATATACTGCTTACATAATCCATATGTTTTTAAAAAGTCAATACGCCAAATAGTTCTTTTGATTACCAGTTATCGTTATTATATAACTTTTAAAATATGTATTTTAGTGATATGTTTGTTTTTTTAATGTCATATCAATCAAAATAATTTCTTTTGACACATCCACATGTTAATGTGGTTGTATATTGTCATCACAGTTGGTGTCTATCTGTCTGTCTGCTGATATTTCAATTATTTGTTAGGTATTGCCCATATCATGGAAACTTTCTAGTTAAAGATTTATTTAGACTTCCTGGGTTTGTTCAACTATTTATAGATAGAAATGTGAATAGCAATATGGATAAATCCTTATTTAATGTAGCTCCATGCATCAATTATTTGCAGAATTATTAACCTTTCTATGTCATAGTTTTTGAAAAAAGAATATTCAAACTTGTTACCGGTAGGTTCGTTTGACTAGTAATAAGGATGAGCCATATCATTTAGGTTGTTGTTTGACTAGTAATAAGGATGAACCATATCAGGTTCATTGTTTGACTAGTAATAAGGATGGACCATATCAGTTAGTGTCGTTTGACTAGTAATAAGGATGAACCATATCAGTTAGGTTCGTTTGACTAGTAATAAGGATGAACCATATCAGAATTAAATTTAGATAACATAAATTATTTGATTTGATTTTTTTATATTGCTGTGATTGTTTATTAGATAGCCCAAACCATATTGAAATATAAAGTGGCAAGTATAATTATTTCACTAAATTTGCTGACTACATTTTGTAGCGCCTGCCATTTCTTTTCAGCCCTTTCTTAATCCAAATACTTAACTGCTTGTAAATGACTTGGCTGCTGTTGAGCATATGTTTCATTGCTTATTAAATTTTTAACATTTTCAAATTTTAGCATCTGATCAGTATTAAACATTCTTTATATCTACAATTTCATAATAAGTTTGTTTTTTTTTTACATGCCCACATTGATTTGTTTGTGGTAGCTAATTGTTGTTGCCCCAGCCCCCATCCGTCGACCATCCACAATGTCTTGTGAATACATACAGATTACAGTGAATTTAGTATTTTGTACAATCTATAACAGTTATTGCTTGATATTTATATGCGTTGCTCATATTATCAAAACAAAGAATTCTATCTCCACCTCGTGGGTTTTCTCCGGGTCCTCCGGTTTCCTCCGACATCCACTGTGTCGAGTGGATGTTAAACCCCATTTCTCTCTCCTCTCTCTCTCTCTCTCTCTCTCTCTCTCTTAATTATATCAAGGGTATTGTCAAAGATTCACAACCTGACAACCGTTGTGGACGACTTTGCTGCTGTGGGTGTATATTCTGTTGCTTACCAACCTATCTTTTTTTATAATATAATATATAATAATGTTAATCATAATTCCATGTATAAATAAAGAAAGTTTTCAAATTTTTTTCTGTTTCCTTTTTCTCTAGATCTTCATACATACTTGTGTAACAAAAGTTACACCCTCTCTGTTTTGACTGACATGTTAATCAATCTTGATAAGATTTTGCTTCTAGAAAATACTTTTGGAAATATCATCCAAATAACTGTTTCTTATATAAGTATATCACTTGGCAAACCATTACTCTACATCTAGCCTCGGCTGTATGACGGTAAGTGATATGTATCTACGCCTATACAATTGCGATATGGCACAGGTTTAATTAGTAGGAAAACTTGCCGCTTTTAAAAAGAAGTTATCAAAATTGAGTCGTTCAAAGGGTGTGTAGAATTTTCAGTGCAAAGTTGTCCTTGTTTGAAGAAAATCCGATAGACTTGAAAGAAAAACAGCTTCAGAATTTGATATATTTGTATGATAACCATTCATTCTTCAAAGGCAACGTCGTTAGTAGTTTCAATGGCGGACTTCGTCATACAGCCGAGGCTAGATGTAGGGTACTGGAATCTGCTGAGGTTTGCCGAGTGATAAATATATGTGATAGTGTGTTGCTTGATCCGGTTACTAAAGGCCTCAAAAAGATTGTTAATAATCATGGGCGAGTTTCACTACATTTTAACTAAGATAAAATCCAAATTTTAGTAATTTGATTGGCTAAACACTAAAATCTGTCTAATATTATCCAATCAAAATTGAAGTACATATATCTACTAAAATTTGGATTTTATCTTTAGCTAAGATTTCGAGAAACAGGGCCCAGGTCTTCTATAATTTTGCTGCTTATGGTGTCTCCTATATCAAATTTATCCCATCTTTTAAACACTGTCAGTCATGGGTTATTGTTTCTATTGTTTTACTAGGTTCGGGGGGTTGGATGGCTGAATGGTTAGCGTGTGCGCTGTATCATAAATTCTGTCATTGAGTCAACTGGCGTGGTTTCGAATCCCCGGTTGTACGTGACAAGGAGTAGGGTCGCCTGTCCAACCTCGTGGGTTTTCTCTGAGTCCTCCCACTGCTAAAAACCCCTACGCGCAAGCGAATTATTGAAATAAAATTAAACCATATGTTAGTCCCAAAATGACCTAGTTTGTGTCGAATGGACGTTAAACCCCATTTTTCTCTCTCTCTCTCTCTCTCTCTCTCTCTCTACCAGGTTCGCTAGTATACTGATCGAATTCATAACATTCATATTTAGTGATTTCCGAATTTTTAAATTAAACCTCGACTAATCTTAAGGTCTGTCATTGAGTCAACTGGTGTGGTTTCAAATCTTGGTTGCACATGACAAGGAGTAGGGTTGCCCTGTCCAACCTCGTGGGATTTTTCCGAGTCGTCCGGTTTCCTCCCATTGCAAAAGACCCCTATGCGAAAGCGAATTATTGAAATAAAATTGAACCATATGTTAGTCCCAAAATGACCTAGTTTGTGTCGAGTGGACGTTAAACCCCATTTCTCTCTCTCTCTTAACACCTTCTTTAAAGGCCTTTAGGCTGTTGTGAAAGCTGCTAAACTGCACTAAAATTGCTTAATTAGCTTTTAACTGAGAAATCAAAATATCCACCATAGATTCGATTCAATCAGATTAAAAAGAGGCACATCAAAAGATTTTAACTAAGACTTGTAAGTGGCACTGGCTTGTTTAAATGTGTTACAGATGAAACAGCTACCAAGATGGTTGTCAAACATTTGTTTAAAACAGCCATAACATTTAGTCAAAACAGAAATCTATATCGCAGGTTTTCTCCAGGTCCTCTGGTTTCCTACCACTGCTAAAGACCCCCACGTGCAAACAAATTATTGAAATAAAATTGAACCATATGTTAGTCCCAAAATGACCTGGTTTGTGTTGAGTACGTTAAACAACATCTCTCTCTCTCTCTCTAAATATGGAACAGGATTGAACCAATTTTGGACAGATCCTCCCTTTCGAGATTCAACTTCCACAATATTGTAGTTTGCAGTAGATTCAAAATCATGGCATTGATAATCAGCGCGATGTTGCTTTAATCTGGTCAGATCATGACTCAAATGAAATGCAATAGATTTTGGGGAAAATTGGGACTTGATTGACAGATGAAAGCACCAGTCCATCGTTTTCCTCCTCAAGCAGATGTGAAACTACAGGTTGCAGTACAACAATCTGTAGTATGATAATGATTGTTATATTTATAGCACGGCTTTCATGAGTTAATAGGTTTAACCACAGAGGCCGTAGGCTGAGGTGTTAAACCTGTTAACGTATGAAGCGTGCTATAAATGACTTGTTACATTGACACCTGCTCAACATGCTTGTTGTTATTGCACAGAAAACCCACCCCACTTCTCTATATAATTTCTACTAAAACTAGCGTAAACCAGCAAAAGTGTGCAATAACATTGAAAATGACTAGTTATTGCACAATTAAGCTCCAACCAGTCTCCTAGAGGGAAAACAATCTGCTTATTCAACAAAAAGAACAAAGGAAGATTTCCCGTCCATGTTATAAATGCTGTTAATTGATTTAAGAAGCTTTTACAAAGGTCAAACATTATCCCTAAAAACATATGGGAAACAACTATGTAGAAAGAAGAAGATAATGGTGTTTTCATACTACCTCTCGAAGACCCCACCCCAGGTCTTAAAATTTCATGTCAGTACATGTATTTCCACTTTTAAAGGAGCTAAGTCGCTAATATTTGGGATCTAGAAATTGACAAATCGGTCGCAACGCATGTAATAGTATAATATGAATGTATATAAACTGATTTTCATTCAATCGTTTCAAATCAGTTATGTTCGGGGAAATATGCCAGAAGTCTCAAACAAATGGCAATCTCTATCGTCTGGTTATTCTAGTCTTCACCGATAGTATTTATTGCGCATGCTCTCCAGATAAGATTATGGTGTCACCGTTTGCTATGGCTTGTGGTATATGTCTAGCCTCGGTTTTCGAGCCCCTTGTTGTAAATGGCACTGAAACGCATCATGGTACACGATTCATGTACCAATGGTAAAATGTTTATTTTGTCTTAAATATTGGATATCAGAAGCCCATCTTTTCCCGGTAAGATCACAACATCAATGTTGATTTAAACCGACAAATTAATCATGTTTTCAATGTCAAAGACTTTGGATGATATTGAGTTAGAGACTTAGCTACTTTAAGATTTCTGTGCTCTACCTCTTACTTGAAAATTGTTCAGCGGCATAGGGGGCCAATCCCGATCCCGGCTCCTACCATTACGCATATGAATAAATCTAAGTTGCCACTCTTTACACTGCCTTCATATTGATTCTGTCTGTGCTTCGATGGGCAGTTTTCTGCGTTGTCTAACGGGATAACATTTGAATAATTTCTTCTTTTTTTTTAAATCTACAGAACAACCTGGTTATGGAGCTCCACCAGGTTATGGGCAACAACAACAATATGGTATGGGACCACCACCACAACAAGGTTATGGTCAACCACAACAAGGTTATGGACAACCACAACAAGGTTATGCAGGAAACACGACTGTAGTAGTGGCTCAACCTACAATGGCTGTGGTGCAACAGTTCCGTGAATCGCCCGTTCATACCAGATGTCCACACTGTCAAGCTGAGATTGTGACAGCGACTCATTATGAGACTGGCACTCTGAGTTGGATTATTTGTGTTGTATTATGCCTTGTTGGGTAATTATATTTTTAATTAGAGATACAGTAAACCGCGCATAAGTCGATTTGTATAAGTCAGATCTTTGATCAACTCGGATAAATTGTTTGGACCCTTTGATCCTGCACGTTTTTCTTATTAAATTTCTGCGCGTAAATCAGATTTCTTAAGTCGGATCTTCACTCAACTCGAATCAAAATGTTCGACCCATTTGATCTAATTCCTGCTTTTTTTCTTTGGCTAAGTCGGATCGGCAGTATGTTTAGAATTTCACTGTCAGTTTCGTCCCGATGGTCTATAACACGCTTAGGTATTCCAAACACAGAGTCCTTAAATTCTTTGTTCTATCTTTTGACTCAAATCAGCCTATTTGACGTGACGCAATAATAGAATTTTCCCGGAAAATTTGAATCTGGCTGTCTGCTGTATGAGACATTTTCCGGGAAAATTTAGGACATTTTTCAAAGATGGTGACAAAACGGAAGTTATCTACTCGCACCAAAATGGAAGTTATCTACTCGCACCAAAACGGAAGTTATCTACTCGCACATATGAACAAAAGCTTGAAATGTGCCTTTGAATCAATTATTATCTGGCTCTTGCAGTTTATTTCTAATCGAGCTAAGATTGAATTTCGGTCTTCGGCTAACTTGGATCTTCACTTAACTCAGATAAAATTGGTCAGTCTACTTAAATCCGACTTTACTGTATGTGCGATTCTATTCATAAATAGGCTAGACAAAAAAAGAAACCTTGTTCCCTAACTATCATTAACTCTAAAGAAAAGTGTTTCCTTGCAGACGTGGTTTCAATTCCCCAGTTGTACGTGACAAGGAGTAGGGTCGTCTGTCCAAACTTGTGGGTTTTCTCTGGGTCCTCCGGTTTCCTCCCACTGCTAAAGAACCCTACGCACAAGCAAATTATTGAAATAAAATTGAACCATGTTTTAGTCATGAAATGGCTTAGTTTGTTTTGAGTGGATGTTAAACCCCATTTCTTCCTCTCCCGTTTCCTTGCAGAAATGAAATAGGGTTAATGTCCTACTCTTCAGCACCAACTAGGCCTGACCAGGCTAATGAAGACTGGCACAGAGCGTGCTATCAGTGAAATTTTGGCCTAGAGCGGTGCTAATGCCTACTCTTATTTCAAATTCAAACAGTATACATGGGTCCTCAGTTTATCACCCCATCCAAACAACTAGAGACCAATATTGCTCGACCCTCTGTCTTACACCAATGACAAGGAGGAACCATGCTGAAAAACCCTGAGGAACTTTCTCGTTCCTGGTTAGCGAGCAAGTACCTTACTCACAGAGCCATAACGGCAACCAGTTTCCTTGGAACTATGATGTGGCTTGAAATGTAGAAGACTTACA